CCTTGTATTATTAAACTGCAGCGCCGGCAAGAACAACATGTCATAGACGTGGTGCTGGGGGGCAAATAATAAGAGATGTATGGGCCTGCTCTATGGGACATGACCGAGGGAAGGGTATGGCAGAATGTCAAATGACTGATCCTCTGCTGTGCATGTTACCTGGCTCCCCAGCTATTGCAATACATTAACATTACATAGGGAGGGGGGTGGGGCATGGAGGTTAAATTAACCATTTTTTTGGTCCCATTTCCAGGAAGGCCTATGATTAATTATGGCTCCTGACGAAGCGCCGCATTGAGCGTCCCGCTGACTTTCTCTGGGCTTCCTGGGGTTGAGTCTGCTCTACTGATGTATATGCGTATTTAAATGATTCTGTAGTACTTATTAATCAAATTAGATCTGTACACAGAATTAGTATATTTGATGTATTACGCTGAGGAACGTTAGAGAGCCATCTGTGTCTAGGGTATCTATAATACTGTATATCCCACTACCGTACTATTACTCTGCTCTGTATATAATAATACTATACTATTACTCTGCTCTGTATATGCTACTACTATACAATTACTCTGCTCTGTATATAATAATACTATACAATTACTCTGCTCTGTATATACTACTACAATACTATTACTCTGCTCTGTATATTCTACTACTATACTATTACTCCGCTCTGTATATACTACTACTATACTATTACTCTGCTCTGTATATTCTACTACTATACTATTACTCTGCTCTGTATATACTACTACTATACTATTACTCTGTTCTGTATATACTACTACAATACAATTACTCTGCTCTGTATATACTACTACTATACTATTACTCTGTTCTGTATATACTACTACAATACAATTACTCTGCTCTGTATATACTATTACCATACTATTATTCTGCTCTGTATAAACTATTAACATACCAGGGCTCAAAATTTCAGGCCCTGAGCTACTAGCCAGGCCTTAAGAGTTACTCGTCACCAGTTGCCCCACCTAACTCCTACCCTGCCCCAGCCTTAACTCCGCCAGGTCAGCTGTGTGGAGCAAAGTACTGAGGTCAACAGTACAGAGGTCAGTAATTTAACGCACAGTACAGAGGTCAGTAATTTAACGCACAGTACAGAGGTCAGTAATTTAACGCACAGTACAGAGGTCAGTAATGTAACGCACAGTACAGAGGTCAGTAATGTAACGCACAGTACAGAGGTCAGTAATTTAACGCACAGAGGTCAGCAGTGTAAGGCAGAAAGAACAGGACTTACAGTGAATATAGCTGATCTGCCCTCTTCCTCTCCTGGTACTGGTGGTGGTACTGGTGCTGGGGATGTATTCAGAGATGTATTCTTCAGGTCCCGCGCTGCAAAAACTTCCAGTCGGCCAATAGCAGCTGCAGTCTTCCTCAAGCCTATGGCAGATGAGGTGGGCAGAGGAAGCTGCAGGTGGCCGGAGTGAAGGGAAGACCGACAAACTGATTCTTCTCCTCCTCTGCCGCTCTGTAGCTGCAGTGGCCGGGGAGAAGAAAAATCAGTGCAGCTGTCTTCCCTTCACTCCGGCCACAGAAGACAACTAAAGCGCCCGATCGCCACTGCAGAAGCGGCGGTAGTTTCACCCCCGCTCCTCCTGCCGGCGGCTCCCCCTCCCTAGATGATTTTCCACTCGCCCTCACGCAATTTTAACTTGCCAATTGCGAGGGGGCGAGTGGAAATTTTGAGCCCTGTACTATACTATTACTATACTATTACTCTCCTCTGTAGATACTACTACTATACACTATTACTCTGTTCTGTGTATACAACTGCAATAGTATTCATCCCAAAGGTGTTCAGTAGGGTTGAGGTCAGGGCTCTGTGCAGGACACTCAGATCCTCCACTCCCAACTGATCAAACCATGTCTTTATGGAGCTGACTTTGTACACAGGGGACAGTCATGTTCAGTAGGGTTGAGGTTGGGGCTCTGTGCAGGATGCTCATGTTCTTCCACACCAAACTGGTCAAACCATGTCTTCATGGAGCTGGTGTTGTACACATGTTCAGTAGGGTTGAGGTCAGGGCTCTGTGTAGGACACTTGAGTTCCTCCACACCAAGCTCATCAAACCATGTCTTTATGGAGCTGGCTTTGTACACAGTGGACAGTCATGTTCAGAAGGGTTGAGGTCAGGGCTCTGTGCAGGATGCTCATGTTCTTCCACACCAAACTGGTCAAACCATGTCTTCATGGAGCTGGTGTTGTACACATGTTCAGTAGGGTTGAGGTCAGGGCTCTGTGTAGGACACTTGAGTTCCTCCACACCAAGCTCATCAAACCATGTCTTTATGGAACTGTCTTTGTACACTGTGGACAGTCATGTTCAGTTGGGATGAGTTCAGGGCTCTGTGCAGGATACTCAAGTTCCTCCACACCAAGCTCATCAAACCATGTCTTTCTGGAGCTGGCTTTCATGCTGGAACAGAAAAGAGCCTTCACCAAACTGTTGTCACAAGGTTGTAAATGGCCAGTTGTCCAAAATGTCTTTGTCTGCTGTCTCATTAGCTGTACCGTTCACTGGAAACACCTGAACTCATTAGTGTCAACATAGTTTTGGCCTTAAATAAGGTGTGATAGTCAGGAGTCCTAAAACTTTGGGTTACATAATGTATGAGTATAACATTTTCATATCTGATCAGATTTAACTGGACACCTATGGATTGTTGTGAATGTATTTTTATTCTATGTTCCCAGTGTTGCCCGTGTGGTCATATACATCTCCTTTATTGCTAGATCTCATGTTGTCCAACTGAATTAACCCCGTCTAGACCCTGTTTTACAATTCTTTATCAGAGGTGTCATTTTAATTTTTTTCTTCTACGGTATTTAGGGATTGTGATCGTTTAAAGTTAAATACAGGGTTGCGTGATATATAACAATGTTATTCATGAGGTATTTGTCTCTCTTATTCACATTTCTCGCTTTTAGTACATTACCGCCGCAGGGCCACCTGTTCTCAACCGATGTGTCACTCAACCGCAATTGCTGTGACCTAAAAACAGCTTAAACCACCGCCAGCAACAAAACACAGGCCTGCTGGTATTGTTTTCCCTGGCAGTTGCCGGCATTAATGTATTAACCATTTCTCATGTCCCCTATTTTAAAAAGGAGATCTTACGTAATAATATAATGCAGTATTCTATCCAGCCAACAAGGTGGAGCTCTAGGATCGTTCACTGGTGTCTTTCCCTACCTGGGTTGAAAAAATTGCCAGGGAGCCTCTGCTAAAATTATTATATCTACAGCTCATTGTACGTCGGTACGATCAGTAGGTTGTAGATATAATAATGAAAAAAAAAAGAAAAAGAATAAAGAACGTGGGATACTTATGGTACTTGGCACCCAAGTAAAATCAATTTTAACATTCCCCCCCGCTCTATAGAACCCAATTATTTTCAGTAATAACCGTAAAATCTAATAATGAGGATAATAACCAGAAAATGAAAGCGAGTTTAAACCTGAAAACAAAAAAAAAATGTAATATACTGCAGATTGCCAGTCCTGGTGGCTGCCTTCGTTTTCTTTTTTTTGCAGCATAAGACAAGTCCAGAAAACACCGTGTCCTTGTTAGTTCCTGTGAGCTAAAAAGAAATCATGAACAATGTTATCTCTTTGTAAGCCAAGAGTCTCTTATATCCATCGTGTAATAGTGGTGAACAAAGGTAGACACGTTGGGAGTCCAGCCTGGGTGACTCCTTGTGGTTTTGGGAGTAGTTGTGCTTTAATACAGCCAGTTAAAATTGTAGTGGTCAGTAGAGATGTGCCCCCTGAAACTGGTGGTCACTGATGAGGTGGCCCCTTAGATTCATGGTCAGTGGAGAAGTGCCCCCTTTCATAAATGGTCAGTGGAAAAGTACCCCCTATATTGATGGTCAATGGGAGAGGTGAGCCCTTACATTGGCGGTCATTGGAGAAGTGTCCCTTTACGTTGGTGGTCAATGGAGAAGCGCCCCCTTACATCAATGGTCAGTGGAAAAGTACCCACTTATTATAGTGGTCAATGGGAGAGGTGCCCCCTTACATTGGTGGTCATTGGAGAAGTGTCCCTTTAAGTTGGTGGTCATGGGAGAAGTGTCCCTTTACGTTGGTGGTCAGTGGAGAAGTGCCCCTTACAATAATGGTCAGTGGAAAAGTACCCTCTTATATTAGTAGTCAGTGGAAAAGTACCCCCTAATATTAGTGGTCAATGGGAGAGGTGCCCCCTTACATTGGTGGTCAGTGGAGAAGTACCTCTTTACATTGGTCATCAGTGGAGTCATCCCCCCTTAAACTGGTGGTCAGTAGAAAATTGGTGGTCATTGGAAAAGTGTCTCTTTATGTTGGTGGTCAGTGGAGAAGTGACCCCTTACAATAATGGTCAGTGGAAAAGTACCCCCTTATATTAGTGGTCAATGGCAGAGGTGCCTCCTTACATTGGTGGTCAGTGGAGAGGTACCCTTTTACATTGGTCATCAGTGGAGAAGTGCCCCCTTAAATTGGTGGTCAGTAGAGAATTGGAGGTTATTGGAGAAGTGTCCCCTTACAATAATGGTCAGTGGAAAGGTACCCCCTTATATTAGTGGTCAATGGGAGAGGTGCACCCTTACATTGGTGGTCAGTGGAGAAGTTCCCCTTTACACTGGTCATCAGTGGAGAAGTGCCCACCTAAATTGGTGGTCATTAGAGAGTTATTTTAATGAAAAATGGCTTTGACTGAAAGGGAGCTGCTTTTGCCGTTGTATCTGATAAGTGTCCTCATAGTGCTCAGGGAATCCTTTGTCACAAAGTAACCAAATATGTAGTTAAAAAAATATATAAAACATCAGTTTCAAAATATATCAACTCTAATATACAATCATTGCCCTTTCTCTTTATCTCTCGGGTTCAACTGTAAAAACATTACTAGTGCCATATTGTTCTTCTGATGCTACATTTCCCGATGATTGCTACATTAGTATTTCTAACAACCGTTGCCTTTGTCTTCCTCACACAGGACTCCAAAAAATGGAGCAATAATGAGAGGGGAGAAGCAGAGGGAGAAGCATGAGCTGGCGTCTATTCAAGTTGCTCTCCTTCCTGTTTATTTGGGAGCAGATCACAGTTCAGAAATCATTCCAATCCCAGGAACATGTCTCCAAAGAGTTCGACTGGGTTATCTCTGATCGAGGACCATTTCATCATTCTCGGAGTTACCTGTCCTTTGTGGAGAGGCATCGGCAGGGCTACTCGACTAGATACAAGATTTACAGGTTGAAACTTATTTATTGATCTCAGTGGTGTAATGTGTCCTGTTGCATGTACAGTATTGATAGAATGACCCAGGGCAGGGGTGGGCAACTCCGGACCTCCAGCTGTGCTTGAACCACAAACCACAACATGACTTTGGCTCTGGGAGTCATGTCTGTACCTGTCAGTCTTGCAAGACCTCATACCCCCGCACTGCAAGGGTTAATTTTGTCCAGGGGTCTCAAATAAAGCAGACTTACTTACCTTACCCTCATGCTCTTCTTCAGCTTTCTCCAGGTGGCTAGACTGGTCCTTGCAATCTCTTCTGCCTTTCCCTCTGGCTGTCCAAGGACCATTGATGTCATCATGTCTTAGGCAGGTCAATTGACCTACATTAGACCTGAGGATGCCAAAGGACAATCCAAAGCCAGGAAGGAGAGGGAGGGAGGTGAGTGCCGACCACCACAGGACCAAGGATCAAGTGAATATGCTTTATTGGAGCCCCCTAAACAAAACAAGCACTTAACTCTTGCCCTGCGGGGGTAGCCCTACTAAGTTTTGGATTTTCTGGAGCTCTTCATTAACAGGTCATCTGACTTTCCATTTACTGTTTAGAAAGGTGTCCCGCCATGCTTTATCGGGAAGATTGTGACAAGCGGCAGTCTGATTCAATCACCAATATCTAGCTGGGTTGAGAGGGTAGCTGAGGGCAAGATAGAACCATTATATGAATGTAACTGTATATATAAATGTAAGGTACAAATATACTTTAAGGAGACCCTGCCACCGGTTCACATCTCTTTAAATACCACAAAAATAATACATATTTTTTCCCAATTTGATGTTCAACTTGCTGATTCTTTATTTAGTTACAAGTACAGCCAAGTTAGTAGAATTCAGACTCATCCAAAGCCTTCACCTTAAAGTCAAGGAGCTCAATAACCACCCCCATGAGCAGCCCAATAACTGCACATATATCAGAATGCTACAATCTTTCCAGATGCAGCGCAACTCCCAAACCAATTTGCCAAGATGTAGATTCTTCTGCCAAATTGGGAAATTCTAGAATCATCTGTGCCCTCTGATAAAGGGGTCCAGTCTTCCTACTTGAGACTAAGGACATCTGATAAAGTCTGTTAGGTCCAGTCTTCCTACTTGAGACTAAGGACATCTGATAAAGTCTGTTGGGTCCAATCTTCCTACTTGAGACTAAGGACCTCTGATAAATTCTGTTGGGTCCAATCTTCCTACTTGAGACAAAGGACCTTCTGATAAAGTCTGTTGGGTCCAGTCTTCCTACTTGAGACTAAGGACATCTGATAAATTCTGTTGGGTCCAATCTTCCTACTTGAGACTAAGGACATCTGATAAAGTCTGTTGGGTCCAATCTTCCTATTGAAAGACTAAAGACATCTGATAAAGTCTTTTAGGTCCAGTTTTCCTACTTGAGACTAACACCATCTAATAAGGCCTGTTGGGTCCAATCTTCCTATTTGAGACTCAGGACCTTCTGATAAAGTCTGTTGGGTCCAAACTTCCTAGGTGAGACTAAGGACCTTATGATAAAGTCTGTTGGGCCCAATCTTCCTATTTGAGACTCAGGACCTTCTGATAAAGTCTGTTGGGTCCAAACTTCCTAGGTGAGACTAAGGACCTTATGATAAAGTCTGTTGGGCCCAATCTTCCTATTTGAGACTAAGGAACTTCTGATGAAGTCTGTTGGGTCCAATCTTCCTAGGTGAGACTAACGACCTCTGATAAAGTCTGTTGGGCCCAATCTTCCTTGGTGAGATTAAGGACCTTCTGAGGGCTAAGTATATAAGGTTTGAATGACTTCTTGCTGATTGTAGACTCTCTCTTTGGGCCTGCAGTTCTATCAAATGCAGAAGAATGGAAAAATATAATTAAAAAAGAAGACAGAAGAACCAACAATAATAGTACAACACCATAAATGAATGAATGCAGGAAGCATCAGTCACGCTCGTGATCTAAGGTCAAGAGGAAATGTCAAACCTTAGGCATTCAATAGCAAAATTATAAATGGAAATAACGATAATAACAGAAAAGAAGCCGGGAAAATGCAGAAAGAACACAATGGGGGGACAAAGTCCTCAAGAACCATTGTTTCAGTGTCATAAAGAGTGTAAAAAAAAACACATTAGTATTCAAATTTATTCCCGAAGACTTTACAATATTTGTAATAAATATATGTTATAACAGCATTTCAGTATGTATCTGTTTTTTGAATTAATTAACATCAGAAACAGCAATGAATACAGTTCTGAATATCATTAAAATTATATTAAATTCAAAGCCGATTCGTATGATGAAGTCACTTACAACGGATGCTGGCTCCTTAATGTTTAAAGGTTTTGAAGAATGAGTTGGTCCCCCGAGCACTGGCCAAGATAGGGTGGCTCCTTTCCCTTGTAGGGTCCTATACAGGGCCTTCTTTACCGCAGGGCAAGCGGGGCAGCTGCCCCGGGCCCCATAAGTTACAGGGGCCCACAGCAGCTGTCCCTTTACTCCGGAGTGGCAGGCAGGAGCAGCGACACCCAGGGCCGGATTTACTCTCTCTGCTGCCCTAAGGCCAGGTTCCTCATTGCGCCCCCCTACCCGCCAAACCCCCCTCCCCCATGGAGAATGGCAGACCTGCAGACTGCATACAACTGATCTCGGCGACATCTCTGAGATCACTTGTAGAAAACAAGCGGCGGCTTCCCCGCTCTACATTTAGCTCTGCTTACCCAAAGCAGGGCTAAATGTAGAAAACAACTACCTGCCCGGCGCCCGGAACTGCATGTCCCAGTAATCGGGAGACAAGAATCCCACACCCTCGCTGACCCTCTACGCCCTGCTGCCCCTCAACTCCCTGCTGCCCCTCTACTCCCTGCTGCCCCGAGGCCGGGCCTTGGTTGGCCTTGTGGGAAATCTGGCCCTGGCGAAACCGCTGGTAGCAGGGGGGGACTGGGCTGGGACAGCCAGGACCTTGGCCTGAGGGGAAGCGGTAATTGTCAGGTGATACAGATGAGCACCCGAGCAGCCAGAAACAGCTGACAATGAAGTTGCTGGTGAGTGCTGGGAGCGGCCTGAGCTGTGCTCTTCTCTGCCCGTTGTCTGCAGCTCCAGAGAGCGAAGCACCTGGCCGGCAGAGGAGGATGATGTTGCTGGGAATGCAAAGGAGAGCCTGGCTTGGGGGAAGGGGGGAGGGAGATGCTGGTTGTCCTGTTGAGTGTATTGTTTTGCAGAGTCCTTTTTATTACATTACAGAGTCCTGCGTTTATTGCGTTGAGAGTCTTGAGTCCATTGCCTTGAAGTGTCCCGAGTCCATTGCGTAGCAGAGTCCCGAGTCCATTGCGTAGCAGAGTCTCGAGTCCATTGCCTTGCAGTGTCCCAAGTCCATTGCGTAGCAGAAGCCCGAGTCCATTGCTTAGCAGAAGCCCGAGTCCATTGCATAGCAGAAGCCCGAGTCCATTGCATTGCAGAATCCCGAGTCCATTGCGTAGCAGAGTCTCGAGTCCATTGCATTGCAGAGTCTCGAGTCCATTGCATTGCAGAGTCTCGAGTCCATTGCATTGCAGAGTCCCGAGTCCATTGCATTGCAGAGTCCCGAGTCCATCCCGAGTCCATTGCGTAGCAGAGTCCCGAGTCCATTGCGTAGCAGAGTCCCGAGTCCATTGCATTGCAGAGTCCTGAGTCCATTGCGTAGCAGAGTCCGGAGTCCATTGCGTAGCAGAGTCCCGAGTCCATCTGCACTTGGTGTTGCCATGTTTGATACTTGAGCCTTGATATTGATGTGAGACGCCTGTCGGCATGAAACCATTGTGATGGATCTAATACCACTTTCCTTTATCTGTTTAAAGGGAATTTGCCCGCTGGAAGGTGAGGAACATAGCGGTAGATCGTAAGGAGCCCCAGAAAAGTATCTTGCCCTTGATGCCTGATTTTCAGCGCAGTTTGAGGCTTCTGGGAAGGAGGCCGAGCACCCATCAGATCATCGAGACCATCATCAAGAAATACGGCACCCACTTGGTGGTCTCTGCCACTCTGGGGGGTAAGACACAAACTCATAAACTCATCAACCAAATAGCTCATTATACATGAGAGTGTTTATGTTTGGAACTGTCAAGGTCACGTTTATGTCAAATAAGGTATATTGGTGATCATCGATGTGTAATACAGAAGAGTTCTGGTGAAGTGTTGCGGGTGGAGCCTACGTGACAGGTGACCTCCGCTATAACGCAGTCCCTGCTTATTATAAATAAATGCGAATTCGCAGACAAGTTTTACCGCCGCGTTGTTGCTGCTAATTCAGTTAATCTTTAAGTATCATCATCCGAATTTTTTTTTTTTTAAAAGATAATTATTCCTAATTAAATATTGCAATTTTATATCAGCAAAGTCTGTTCTTTCAAAGCATCAATGTGAGAGGTGCCCCCCCCCCCTGCT